GATTGCACTCTCAGCAAGTTTGCGGATGACACTAAGCTAGGGGGAGAGGTAGATACATTGGAGGGTAGGGATAAGGTCCAGAGTGACTTAGACAAATTGGAGGATTGGGCCAAAAGAAATCTCACGAGGTTCAACAAGGACAAGTGCAGAGTCCTGCACTTGGGATGGAAGAATCCCAAGCACTACTACAGGCTGGGGACCAAAAGGCTAAGCAGCAGTTCAACAGAAAAGGACCTGGGGATAACAGTGGATGAAATGCTGGATATGAGTCAATAGTGTGCCTTTGTAGACAAGAAGGGTAAAGGCATATTAGGGTGCATTAGGAGGAGCATTGTCAACAGATCTAGAGAAGTTATTATTCTCCTTTATTTGGCTCTGGTGAGGCCACATCTGGAGTACTGCATCCAGTTCTGGGCCCCACACTACAAAAAGGATCATTGGAGGACAACCAAAATGATTAGGGGACTGTAGCATATGTCCAGGAGAGGATGAAGGATTTGGGCTTATTTAGTCTGCAGAAGATCAGAATGATGGGGGCATTTGATAGCAGCCTTCAACTTCCTGAAGGGAGGTCCCAAAGAGGATAGACAGAGGCTGTTCTCAGTAGTGACAGATGGCAGAACAAGGAGCAATGGTCTCAAGTTGTGGTGGGAGAGGCCTAGGTTGGATATTAGGAAAAACTATTTCACCAGGAGGATGGTGAAGCACTGGGATGGGTTACCTAGGGAGGTGGTGGAATCTCCATCTCTAGAGGTTTTAAAGTCCCGGCTTGACAAAGTCCTGGCTGGGATGATTTACTTAGGGTTGGTCCTGCTTAGGGTAGGGGACTAGACACGATGATCTTCTGACGTCTTTTCCAGCCCTAGGATTCTATGATAAAAGAATTAATGTGAAATACGATAAAAACAAGTCCATACCTATTTTATAGTTGAAAGTTAGGAAAAGCAGACATTTTACCAAAATAAGTCCAAAAAGTTAGTAGTGAAAGAAATCAAAGTAAAGAGGGTGTGCTTTTTTTGGCAGGTGGGGGGAAGAAGGGGGAAAGAATATTTCTTTAAGAAAATTGTGACCTCTTACATGGGTGTATAGAACATAAAAACAATGAGCTGAATGAAAATTTCAGCATATAGGAACTAAAAAAAAAAAGTACTATAGACAAATGTAAAAATAGAGCCACCAGTAAAAATATTATAAGTAATGGAATGCTTAAGCACCTAACAGAAGGGAGCTTAAGAGTTTTATTGAAATTATATAATAATACATGGACAAAAGGAATACTACCGGCAGAATGGAAGCAAGCAGTGGTTATGTTGACAGGAAAGCTTGGCAAATTATGCAAATGATGTATAAAGACCTAGTGCCCCTCACATTGTGCCTGGACAAAATTATGAAAAAAGTGATAAATCAGAGATTATAGACCCAGGACTTCAGAAAAACAGACTTTGACTCCCTCAGGAAACTGATAGGCAGGATCCTCTGGGAGGCTAGTATGTGGGAGAAAGGAGTCCAGCAGATCTGTGTATATTTTAAAGAAGCCATATTGATGGTGCAGGAACAAAGTATCCCAATGTGCAGTGAGAAAAGCGAATATGGCAGGAGACTTGGTTGGCTTAACAGAGAAATCTTTGATGATCTTCAAAAAGAAAGATTACAGGAAATGGAAACTTGGACAGATGACTAGGGAAAAATATAAAAACATTGCTTGAGCATGCAGAGGAGTAATCAGGAAAGGCAAAGAGCAATTGGAGTTACACTTAGCAATGGATGTGAAGGGTAACAAGAAGGGTTCCTACAGGTATGTCAGCAACAAGGCGGTGGTCAGAGAAAGTGTAGGCAACCTACTGATAGATGATGTGAAAAACCTTTAAGTATGCAATGCTTTTTTTTTAATCTCCATCTTCACAGACAAGATCAGTTCCCAGATTGCTGACTGGGCAGCACAGTATGGAAGTAGGTGAGCAAACCTCAGTAGTGAAAGAATGGGATAAGGACTTTTTAGAAAAACTAGGTGTGCATAAGTCCATGGGGCTGGATTTAATGCATCCAAGAGTGCTGAGAGAATTGGCTGATGCAATTGTAGAGGCTTTTGCCATTATCTTTGAAAATTCAAGGTGATCATGGGACTACTGGAAAAAGGCAAATGTAGTGCCCATCTTTTTAAGGAGGGGAAGAAGGAGGTTCCAAAGAACTATAAACTTGTCAGCCTCACCTTAGTCTCTTGAAAAATCATGGTGGTGATCCTCAAGGTATCCATTTTGAAGCACTTGGAAGAGGGGAAAGTGATCAGGAATAGTCAACATGGAGTCACCCAAAGGGCAGGTCATGCCTGACCAACCTAATTGTATTCTATGATGAGATAACTGGCTCTATGGATATAGGGAAGGCGGTGGGTGTCATGTACCTTGATTTTAGCAAAGCCTTTGATACTGACTCGCACAATATTGCCAACAAGCTAAGAAAGTATGGATTGGATAAATGGACTATAAGGTAGATAGAAAGTTGCCTAGATCATGGATAAGAAGCAGGATCTGAGTCAACAGTGTGCCCTTGTAGCCAAGAAGGTGAATAGAATATTAGGTTGCATTAGGAGGAGCATTGCCAGCAGATCTAGACAAGCGATTATTCCCTTTTATTCGGCTCTGGTGAGACCACATCTGGAGTATTACAGTCAGTTCTGCCCCCCCACTATACAAAGGATGTGGATGCATTGAGAGGGTCCAGCGGAGGGCAAGCAAAATGATTAAGGGCCTGGAGTACATGACCTATGAGGAGAGGCTGAGGGATTTGGGCTTATTTAGTCTGAAGAAGACAGGAGTGAGGGTGGATTTGATAGCAGCCTTCAACTACCTTAAGGAGAGTTCTAATGAGAATGAAGAGAGTCTGTTCTCAGTAGTGAAAAATGGCAGAAAGAAGAGCAATGGGCTCAAGTTGCAGTAGGGGAGGTCTAGATTGGATATTAGGAAAACCTATTTTACTAGGAAGGTGGTGAAGCCCTGGAAGGGGTTACCTAGGGAGGTGGTGGAATCTCCATCCCTAAAGGATTTTACGTCTGGGCTTGACAAAGCTCTGGCTAGGATGGTTTAGTTGGGGTTGGTCCTGCTTTGGGCAGGGGGTGGCCTTGATGACCTCCTGAGATCTCTTCCAATCCTATGATTTTAAGATTAATAGAGTATTTGAAAAAATGACATTTTAAACTGTGCAAATGTGTTTCAGGAAAGGTAGTTTACACAGCTGATCATATTGTAAGATTATAAACAGTATTAGCTGTCTTTCTGGACACTGAAAAAAGCATAGGACATGCTACTGAAGGAAGACTTGCTATATAAACTAGCCACAACTGGAATGAACTGAAGGTGGATCAGAGACGTCTTATGTAATAGAATCTGGAAACTGCAATATGCCAGAGTGGGGGCGGCTTTGTCAAAGATTCTATCATGGATTCTGAGACTTTCTGGGACCATTTCTGAGACCTTCTTCCAGAGTAGGTTGGGAAGAGTGGGGAAGAATGGAACCTTTATGCAGAAAAAATACATGTTTCAAATTTTTACATTCTTAAGAGTTACTAGGGGGCTGTGTTCTCTGTTTACTACGCTTGCCACGCCCCCTCGTCTCTGGGAGCAGGGTGTCTGGCTGGGGAGAAGGGGCAGGAGTGGGATGGGGGCAGGGTGTCTTGCCAGAGGGGAGGGTATCTGGCTACGGGGAGGAGGTAGGAACAGGCTGGGGCAGTGTGTCTGGCCAGGGGGGAGAGGGTAGGAATGACAGGCTGGTGGCAGGGTGTCTGGCCAATGGGGAGGGGGAAGAAGCAGGATTGGAGTGTGGGGTCATAGCGGAAGGGTTGAGGGGGTGGGAGAGTCAGGCTCGCGTGACGGAGGGGACCCAGTCCCAGCAGCTTTTCCCTGGTGACATAACCCTCCTGGGCGTGAAGTGTGAGCCGGACGTGGAGTAGCCCATGCTCAGAGGACACGGTGCAGAGCTGGTCACAGCAAGCAGCTGAGGGTGATGGTGGCAACATTGCCTCTGTCATCCTGAAGGAATTGTTTTTATCGATATAGAGAGATGTTTGAAAACCAGCATGGAAGGCTCATATAGATATCATGACTAAATGTAAAGACAAGATGGGGTTGTTTAAAAGTATTGCTGGGAACAAATGGGATTCAGATAAAAACACACTGTTGTGGCTATATAGGACACTGAAAGGGCTCTTGCCACAGATTGTTCTGTGTTTGAAACGTATTTTTATGAATAGAAGGAGGCAACTGGTTACCTAGAATGTGTTCTGTTGTCATCTCCTTAATTATCTGTATGATCTTGAATTGCAGACACTACCACAATAAATCTGGCCACGGTGTAATGGATACTTGGTATGACAACCCTGTGCCTACTTATTCCCCCAATAACAGAATCGTGACCAAGGAACACAGGAAAAGCCTCCAGAATGGTGGGTGTTTTATATGTTCTTTGCATTTTTGATACTCTATGATATGGGCCTGTGGGAAAAAAGGTTGGACTCACTGCTAACCCACCACTTCATAGGTAGGTATAGGGTATCCATGTCTCTGATTGCTACCAGCGGCACAAACAATGAATGGAGTCAGCAGAGATGCCTCACATGAAATTCAAAGCTTGGATCAGCTCTCAGATTTCTAGTGTTGGTGTAAAAGCTGAACTGACTTGGCATCTGTAATCTATGAAGGTATGTCTACACTACCCCGCTAGTTCGAACTAGCGGGGTAGTGTAGACATACCTTCATAGATTACAGATGCCAAGTCAGTTCAGCTTTTACACCAACACTAGAAATCTGAGAGCTGATCCAAGCTTTGAATTTCATGTGAGGCATCTCTGCTGACTCCATTCATTGTTTGTGCCGCTGGTAGCAATCAGAGACATGGATACCCTATACCTACCTATGAAGTGGTGGGTTAGCAGTGAGTCCAACCTTTTTTCCCACAGGCCCATATCATAGAGTATCAAAAATGCAAAGAACATATAAAACACCCACCATTCTGGAGGCTTTTCCTGTGTTCCTTGGTCACGATTCTGTTATTGGGGGAATAAGTAGGCACAGGGTTGTCATACCAAGTATCCATTACACCGTGGCCAGATTTATTGTGGTAGTGTCTGCAATTCAAGATCATACAGATAATTAAGGAGATGACAACAGAACACATTCTAGGTAACCAGTTGCCTCCTTCTATTCATAAAAATACGTTTCAAACACAGAACAATCTGTGGCAAGAGCCCTTCTTTCCCTCACCAGCCTCCATTCTCCTTCCCTTTGCAAGATGGATCTCTGGTAAAGCACTCCCTGTCTGCTGCATCTGGGAAGTGGTTTAGGCTTGTGGTCTTCCCTAGAGGTAGGGAGCCCAGCCTCTCCTCCTAAAGCTGCTCACTCCTCTCCTGTCTCTGGCTTCGTAGCTGCCTGTTCCCTCGTCTACACTAGGGAGTTATTAGTCATCATATATATAATAGCCCAGTGTCTGTGACTCTGTAACGCTGAAACACTGGCTGTTCCCTCTGGGCGGTGCTGTTGTCTCCCGCCATGGCACTCGGCTGACTTCTGCACTGCTCAGCAGGGCCGCCGCGTGGGAGCAAGCGGCCGTTTGGGGTCCGCGCTCCCCATGCAGCATGGTGGTACTGCATGGGGAACGCGGGGCCCAAATGACCGCTGATGTCCTTAGGGTCCACATGTGGAGCACTGCACACAAGTCGTTCATTAACTTGGTCACAACGGAGGTCCCTTGGTCTGTTAAGATTTCCTTAGGTATTTCCACCCTAGAGAAAATTTGTGTTAACTCCCTATCTATGGTTTTGTATGGGGTGTTTCTGTCGTCAGAGGCATGTAGATTAGATACACAGGCAAAGGCAAATGAAGCCGTGATTTAAATGATTGCGGCTTCATTTACATTTACATGGCTGCCGCGCTGAGCCGACAAACAGCTGATCAGCTGTTTGTCGGCTCAGCGCGGCAGCCATGTAAATGTAAATGAAGCCGCGATCATTTAAATCGCGGCTTCATTTGCCTTTGCCAAAAAAACAAATCTACATGGCTCCGTCGACGGAGCCATGTAGATTTGTTTTTTTGGCAAAGGCAAATGAAGCCGCGATTTAAATGATCGCGGCTTCATTTACATTTACATGGCTGCCGCGCTGAGCCGACAAACAGCTGATCAGCTGTTTGTCGGCTCAGCGCGGCAGCCATGTAAATGTAAATGAAGCCGCGATCATTTAAATCGCGGCTTCATTTGCCTTTGCCAAAAAAACAAATCTACATGGCTCCGTCGACGGAGCCATGTAGTTTAGATATACCCATAGACTCCTGGCCAAAAGAACCTCTGTAAAATCTGGTCAAGGGCTTTATCTACCCCCAGATGTCCCCCAAACAAACGGCTGTGAGTTAAATCCAATACTGCTGTCCGCTATTTTCGAGGAAGTAATGGTTACTCCATTGCTTGCTCCAATATTCAAACTACGCTATACAACAGATACCTCTTAATCAAGTAATCCTTACTTACACCAGGACCCCATTTATCTCCACCACCTCCTTATGGATATTATTATATATTGGATCATTAGCTTGATCCTGACCAAAATTCATGAGTGAGGACCCAATATGCCTGAGCTCAAGAGGACCAATTTCTGCTCTCCTTCCAGGGAGCCCTGAAGAACTGGGTTCTGCCTCTGGCTTGTCTACCACCTCTGTGTCACCCTCCCACCAGCTGGGCTAGCTTCTCTCCCTGCCAGCGTATGCTTTAGGTTCTGGGCGCAACCTCTTATCTGCCCTCCTTTCCTGCCTCATCTTCTGGGGCTTCCCAGGCCCAGAGAATAAGTCCTGGGCAAATTCATGGAAAATCAGCAGGGGGCTATCTTCTTCTGCCACATCCATGGGGAGTATGAGGACCATATATGTGAGTCTGGAGCCCACTCCCCACTGTCATCCTTGTGACATTCCCTTGGACTATCCTGGAGATGGCTGGGTAATAGCTGACATACCCAATGTATGCTGAATATTCCTGTGCACTTGGCTTGGACAACTGGTCCCACCTCACTAGTTTCCCTGGGACCAGCATGAGTGCACTCCCAGTTAATAAGATGGCAGTTTCTATGCCAATCATTTTAACTAGCCGAGTATACCGATAGGGCGTCATTAGAAAACCTGCCAGGTTTATCAGGTCACAGGGGCCTCTCAGATCCCCTATGTCACATTGCATGGGCTCTTTTACATTAGGGCATAGAGCCACTATATGCCCTATCTCTCCAGATGTGTAATATCTATGGGGCATCCCCTTGTTCTTTGGGTTGTTGGACTTTGCTCCATGACCCTCTCTCCCCGAGTCCCCTCTTAGCCTCAGGTTGCTCTTCAGTCTTCTTCCTCCCAGACCGAATCCTGTCCAAGATCTCAGGAACCTGGATCCTTGGAGCCAGGGCTGGCCTCTTGCTCTGATATATCTCTTCGCTAATGGGCCGAGCAAGTTTTTTGACTAAGCGTCTCTCTACAAGGACAACTAGCTCATCCTATGAAGAGGGGTTATTCTGGCTGGCCCATCCTTTCACATCCCTGTCCAGGATGATGATTTCCACAATCTTCTCAGGGATGTGGGTCTCAGGCCATGGCCACTTTGGCACTTCTGTTCCAGATGGACCAGGTCAAATATCTGGGACCTCGGTGCTTTGCAGTTTCAACTCATGAGACCTTCGGTCCCTAACAGTTGCTTTCACCCCAGATCTGTCCAAGATCTCAGCCTTCAGCTGGGTGTAATTGTAGTCACTTAGGGTATGTTTACACTACCCCGCTAGTTCGAAGTAGCGGGGTAATGTAGGCATACCGCAATTGCAAATGAAGCCTGGGATTTGAATTTCCCGGGCTTCATTTGCATAAGCCGGGCGCCGCCATTTTTAAATCCCGGCTGGTTCGAACCCCGTGCCGCGCGGCTACACGCGGCACGAACTAGGTAGTCCCCGCTGGTTCGAACCCCGTGCAGCGCGGCTACATGGGGCACGAACTAGGTAGTTCGAACTAGGCTTCCTAGGTTGAACTACCGTTACTCCTCGTGGAATGAGGAGTAACGGTAGTTTGAACTACGAAGCCTAGTTCGAACTACCTAGTTCGTGCTGCGTGTAGCTGCGCGGCACGGGGTTCGAACCAGCTGGGATTTAAAAATGGCAGCGCCCGGCTTATGCAAATGAAGCCCGGGAAATTCAAATCCTGGGCTTCATTTGCAATTGCGGTATGCCTACATTACCCCGCTAGTTCGAACTAGCGGGGTAGTGTAGACATACCCTTACTCTGGCATATCAAAATACGCTTCTTGAGCTTCCCACACAGGAAAGGAGCAAGAATGCTGGCCCACTGGGCTTGGGACCAGGCCTCCCATAGAGCCATCCTTTCAAAGGCAAGGAGGTGCACCTCCACATCATCCTCCACTGTCATCTTTTGTAGGTAACTACTGGCCTCTGGAGGCGCGTCCCATCTTGCACATGCATCTGAGCAGCCAGGGCTTTCAGGTGGTTCATCACCTTCTGCAGGGTGGCATGATCCTGGGCTGCCTGGCTCATCAGCAGTTGATTTGTTTCTTGTTGTAGCTGTACTGACTCCTGCTGGGCAGCCACCTGAACCCTGGTAGCCTCCTGTTGTGCCATGGTAGCTTGTCCAGTGCCTTACCACATTTTCCTTTTTTTCTCTTCTTCATGAAGAGAGATAACCCTCCCTTGGATGGTTCGCTGTGAAGCATCATGGCTGATCCCACTTCTGACACCACATGTGACAAGGCCCTTCTTTTCCTTGCCAGCCTCTGCACTTCTTGCTCTTAGTGAGATGGATCTTGAGTAAAGCACTATCTATCTGCCATGTCTAGGCAGTCAGCCTTACTCTCAGCAGAGGGTTAGGCTTGTAGTCCACCTTTGGGGTAAAGAGCCTAGTATCTTCTCCTAAAGCTGCTCACTCCCCTGCTTTTCTCTAGCTTGGCTGCCACTTGGGTGTGTATATACCTCTCTCTCTCTTTCTCTCTCTCTGGGTATGTCTACACTAGCTCGTTAATTCGAGCTAGGTAGGCAAATCAGGCAACCGGAGGTGCAAATGAAGCCCGGGATTTAAATATCCCAGGCTTTATTTGCATGTTCCCGTCCAGCCACCATTTTTAAATCCCCTTTAGTTCGAACAAACTGTCCATGGCTACATGCGGCAGTTTAAAGTTAATCTGAAATAAGTTCTTAGTTCGTATTAACTGTTACTCCTCATGGAATGATCTGTAACAGTTAATCCGAACTAAGGACTTAGTTTGGATTAACTTTAAACTGCCGCATGTAGCCATGGACAGTTTGTTCGAACTAAAGGGGATTTAAAAATGGTGGCTGGACGGGAACATGCAAATAAAGCCTGGGATATTTAAATCCCGGGCTTCATTTGCACCTCCGGTTGCCTGATTTGCCTACCTAGCTCGAATTAACGAGCTAGTGTAGACATACCCTCTCTCTCTCTCTCTTTCATACCTTGAGAATAGGGTTTGCTTATAGCACTGAAACTTTCATAACTCCAAACAAAACATTATAGTTGTTCTTTCAAAGGTTTACAATTGAGTATTGACTTAATTCAGCATTGAAATCGCACCATGCAAAAAAAAATACTGTTTTAAATCATCTTAATTTAAATAAAATATGCACAGAAATAGTTTCCTTCCCTTATCATTTTTAAAACCCTTCTTTTTAGTATTTTTACTGCAAGGGTCAGGAACCTCAGGCCTGGGGGGTGAGGGTGGTCCCCGGTTTGCCTGGATCAGGCCCTTTAGGCTCAGGAGCCCCCCTCCCCTCCTGAGCACTGGGGACCCTGTGCTGGCACTCCAGCGCCCCCTGCTGCCTCACTATTGGACTGGAGCACACAAAAATCTACTAGGATAAGACCCTCAGGCTCTGGGGTGCGAAAGGAACGTGGGGAGTGTCTTTCCTTCTCAGCCAGGGGCCATGTTTTTTGTTTTTGTTTTGGGGTTTTTTTGCTTCTCACTTGTGTGTGGCCCCCGACTGATTTTTGCGTGGGTCAGCAACTCCTGACCCAGAAAAGGTTCCCACCCCTGTGGTAGTGTTTTAGTTTTGTTTTCAGTCTCTGCTGCTATTTGATTGCTTAATTC